TACCTTTTCCCCCTCCACCCCCAATGCATAATCCCTTCTTAACTTTTATGGAACTCATAGTGTTCTTTCAGTGCCTCTTTGATCTTCTACTGGAATTCATCCCATTGTTTCTGTCGTCTGTCACTGATAGCTACATCTTATCAACTGACCCACAGCTTGTTTGTAAAGACAAGCTCATCATTCCTTTCAGTGTGATGTGTGGAGTTCAATAGGGTTGCTTTTTATTTATGTTTAACTTTGCTGATGTGATAAGAACTGTTAGTGAAAGAGCATAGCATCTGTTTTTGCTGGTGGTTGTATGGCGTGGCTTTTGTTTGTTACCTGTTTTGGGTTTTTTTTTGTTAGTGAGATTAAACTTTATTTTGGGGTTAATTTGTGATTATTTTAAAGATTTTAGTGCAATTTAGGTTTTTGATTTGGGGGTGCTGTGATGAGACTACTTTATTTGTTTTATGTGGTATTGGGTTGGTGTGGATAGAGAGAATACTTGTTTTTAAAATTTATTTTAGTATTGTTAGTTGAAGTGTTAGGATGCATTGTGTTTCAGTGTTGAATCTTTTTGAGGTGGTTTGGATTTTTTCTAGGTTAAGATTTTTTTCCCTTGGCTGGTTCTATTGATCATATGGGTGGGAATTTGATGCTGTTTTTTTTTTTGTTTTTGTTTTTTTTTTTAGGAATTGGATTTTTGCAGTAGACCCGGAAGAATTTACTTTATTTCAAAACATACTAGTTTAATCACATAAAGATTCCCATATTAACTCGTCAGTCTTTTAGATTCTTTTTCTCATTTAGGTTTTCCAGAATTTACTGTTAATTTAGCAATCAAGCAGGGATGGCACTTCGTTCTTGAAAAGATGGCTATGGAAAAACCTGTGTCTAACAACACGTACCTGACAGAAGGCAACAATTTTGCCGTTATTACAGGGCCAAATACGAGTGGCAAATCGACGCTGGCATGGAACTGCTGAAGGAGAGGAGTTTCTGGTGGGCTCGCAGTGGCATCTGATGGAGTGACGGTGAGAGCATCTCATAGGGTCTGGGGGAGCACCTGGATGCACTGGGACGTGGATGCACTAGCGATATGCTCAAAGGAGGTGGTGATGGACAAAGCTTTTTGCCAGGAAGCAGCACCTGAACAGCTGAGCCAGTGTGGATTTGCAGGGGTGATCTTTCTCCTTTTCCCTTTTGATTTAATCTTGACAGTCCCTCCCAGGTGCCCTCAATCTGTCACAAGAATTCCAAAAATAAAAAGGCTGAGTGAACAGTGAAAAGAAGGGGTATAGGTTAGGTGGAGTTCAGGTGTACCCCACCCCAAACACTTAACAGCAGCCCTCACAGCGCTCCCGTTTCCTTGGGACAGCTGCAGGCAGGAACCCTAAAGCAGCAGAGTGCCAGAACCCCCGAGAGGTGCAGGCAGTTCCCTGGTGCTAGGGCCAGCCAGGAAGAGATAGTGGGGGGACGATCCACAGGGCTGGGGAAACAGGGGGTTTCCCGCCCCGCCCCACCCTGGGCTCTCTGTCCCTCCGCAGCCGGGGATTGCTCCCACCCCTCCTCGAGGCGGCGGTTGGTAAGGCTTCGTGCCTGGCCTCCGCAAAGAGTTCGGCTCTGTCAGCCTCTGCCCTGTCTCAGGGCCAAACTTAGGTAGGGTAGGGAGCAACTGTGGATTGCCTGGTCCGGGCTAAGGGACATCTCTTGGGGCCTATGGATAAGGAGCATCCCCGGTTGCAAGCGTAGGGTTGTAAGTTTATAGGGTTCAGCGGGGCAGCTTGGCAGTGACACGGAGAGGCTGAGGGAGGGCTTCAGAGGTCAAGGGCTCGAGGGCTGGAGACAAACAGTGAAAAGAAAAGGGGTACAGGTTGGGATATAAGGTAGAGTACAGGACTATTCAAACCCTAAACAGTAGCCCTCACAGTGCTCCCGTTTCCTTGAGGCAGCTGCAGGCAGGAACCCTAAAGCAGCAGAGTGCCAGAACCCCCGAGAGGTGCAGGCAGTTCCCTGGTGCTAGGGCCAGCCAGGAAGAGATAGTGGGGGGACGATCTGCAGGGTTGGGGAAACAGGGGGTTTCCCGCCCCGCCCCACCTTGGGCTCTCTGTCCCTCCGCAGCCGGGGATTGCTCCCACCCCTCCTCGAGGCGGCGGTTGGTAAGGCTTCGTGCCTGGCCTCCGCAAAGAGTTCGGCTCTGTCAGCCTCTGCCCTGTCTCAGGGCCAAACTTAGGTAGGGTAGGGAGCAACTGTGGATTGCCTGGTCCGGGCTAAGGGACATCTCTTGGGGCCTATGGATAAGGAGCATCCCCGGTTGCAAGCGTAGGGTTGTAAGTTTGTAGGGTTCAGTGGGGCAGCTTGGCAGTGACACGGAGAGGCTGAGGGAGGGCTTCAGAGGTCAAGGGCTCGAGGGCTGGAGACAAACAGTGAAAAGAAAAGGGGTATAGGTTGGGATATAAGGTAGAGTACAGGACTATTCAAACCCTAAACAGTAGCCCTCACAGCGCTCCCGTTTCCTTGAGACAGCTGCAGGCAGGAACCCTAAAGCAGCAGAGTGCCAGAACCCCTGAGAGGTGCAGGCAGTACCCCTGGTGCTAGGGCCAGCCAGGAAGAGATAGTGAGTGCTAGGGCCTACTGCTGTCACATAAGCTGGGGTTTCTATCCTTGGGGTATCCTGGGCTCCCTGTCCCTCACTGACTGGAGAGTCTTCCTCCCCTCCTGGAGGTGGTGGTCGTTTGGCTGTCAGCCAATACTGCTGTGAAGCAAGCTTCGGCCTCCCTGTGGGGTGAAGTGTGCAGCCCATGAACCTGGGCATTCTCTAGAGAAGGTAAGTGCTGGGTTTTCACAGATGTGGCACTAAGCTCCTGCATTGATATTTTGTCTTCTTGGTTGTAGCTGACCAGGAGTCGACATCCTGGCAATGGCAGGAACTTCCCAGATGGCGAGGAGGCCTTCCTTCGCACCCCATGTGGATCCACCCCACAAGGCATCCGAGAGCTGAGTCAAAGGCTACCACCCGCAGAGGGGATGAAAGCGGGGTGCCGGGTCGGGGCTCGTGACCTGGGATATTTGAGTCAGCTTTGGGGACGGGGAGGTCCAGGCTGTGGCCCCTTAGGCCGCACGGTGGGAGAGCCTCACTTTTGTTCACAGTGCTGAGGTGTGCAGGACAGAGCAGCCTCGGGGCGTGGCGTGTCACTTGTCCGTCGTGCCTTCTGTGTCTTTTGTGCCTCTTGTGTTGTACGTGCCTTGCCCTATCTCTTCTGGGGGCTTACCAGAAACCCCAGCATCACTTATAGCATCTCCGATCTCTGGGCTCCTCGGCTCGGCTGCTCTCAGAGGCCTTGGAATCGCGTCTGTTTCGAAAAGCATCCGATCGGATGTCTTTTAGACGTCTTCTTCCGAGCTGTGTCAACAGCCGTGCGCCGCGAGGATCCATTGTTGCGGCTTAGGACTTGAAGAAACGCAAAGATAGGTAGAGGATTGCGGCCATAAGATTCTTGGGCCTCCGTCTTGGCGGTTCCTGGAGTTTGTCATTCCGTCAGCATCTTCTTCCTCCCGGGTTCTGTGAGCTTCATCAGCTCGCCTTCATTCTCACCCGGCTCATCTCGTTCCGCATTCTCAGTCCTTGCGGCCGTCCTTGTGGCCCAGAGTTTTGTCTCCCCATTGTGTCCCCTCGTCGGTTGTCTGGTGTGTCACGGGTGTCTGGGTGTAGTTGTCCCGGAGCTGCTCTGCCCTGCTGCCCAGCCTGGCTGTAGGTGTAAAAGGCCAAGTCCCAGGCCCCTGTAATTTGAAATTTGTGATGTAGGGTGTAGTTGGGGTCTAGAACATATCCCTAGATCAACACAAGATGTCTGGAGCTGTGAAGTTACCCTGCAGCACTTTAACTTTTGTCTCAGCTCTCTTTCAGATGCGGCCGGATGAAATCGGTGGCAGAGCGCCCCATCCAGGGTAAGGGGGTTCCCCCGAGAAGGTAAGTCAGTGTTTGTCTTTGCAGGGCAACTGGAACCGGTCACTGTGTTACAGGTCTCCTCTTTGTCTTTATTTTTAGGAAATAGAGCCAGCTAGCAGCAGTCAAGGTGAAGTGGGCAAGGTGAGCGTTGACCGGTGGAGGGAGGCTGTTGTTATCGCTGGGCTCTCAGTTTCTGGTGCAGCGCCAAGCGTCCCTTCTTGTTTGCGTGCTTTAGGCGGTCCAGTCGCGTTTCGTCGAGACCCCGTCGCCAGCCGGCCGGCACGCCTGCTTCGCCGCTCCCGTGAGCCCTGCGGAAGCGTCACAGGGACTGCGTGACGGAGCCTTTTCCACGTAAAGGGGCCGTGTGGGTGGCCTTCAGGAAGGGGCCGAGGGCTTCCCGTGAGTTGGGGATGTCGGGAGGAGGAGCGAGGGCCTGTTCAAGTCTCAGCAACGCCGCATCACTTTTTCTTCTCTTAACTCAGGCGCGCCCTGCGACGACGCTGCCTGGTCCCGGCGTGGCCCTATCGTGCGGCCTCAGGACACGGCCGTGAGTAGCGGAATTGTCGGGTTTTGGCCGACGCCCCGCAAAGATCAGCTGCTGATTTTCTGTTTTATTTTTTGTAGCTGACGGAGAGACGACAGCCTGGCGATGGCAGGAACTTCCCGGATAGCCAGGCGGCCTTCCTTGGCGCTCCGTGTGGATCCTCCCCAGCGGGCATCCGAGAGCTGAGTCAAAGGCTACGACCCGCGGAGGGGATGGAAGCGGGGTGCCGGGTCGGGGCTCGTGACCTGGGATTTTTGAGTCAGCTTTGGGGACGGGGAGG